CTGTCATTTTTAGCATCTACATGGATGTTAAAATCACCCACAATAATTATTTTATCTGAGCTCAGAACTAAATCAGATATAAAGTCTGAGAAATCAGACAGAAACTCTGTGTAAGGCCCAGGTGGACGATAGATGATAAGTACGACTGGTTTCTGAGTTTCACAGCTGGGGTGGACGAGGCGAAGCATCAGGCTTTCAAATGAATTAAGTCTTACACTTTCTTATTCTTATATTTTTTATTACAGAAAAAATAGAAACAAACAGGTGAAGTTTTTATCTTTAAATGGGGAAAAAAAGAGTAAACAGAATAACTTTTTTAAAGAAAGAACACAAACTCTGAAAGAACTTTTCTACACAATCTTCACATATACGATGCTTTACATCCATTATTATTAGCAGTAAACGCCCACACAATGGAAGACGTTTCAGGATTACAAGATGAATTTGAGTCTTACAGCAAATATTTCACTGATTCATCCACAGACAGTTTCATTATGTGGACTGAACCTTTTACTGGAACGTTCACACTTAAAATCTAGAATATAATTAAAGCATCTTATCCAATAAAGTAATCCTAGCTCGTGCTGAATAAAAGCAGAAATTACCTTGGAAACAGAACTTTTCAAATTAAGAGCTTACATGTAAATGCAAGAAAATACTGAAACATAACATTTTCCAGATTTCTGCCCTAAAGTTCCCACAGAAAAAGTTTCTCTATTTTCAAACAAAGTTTCACTGAATGAATATTTAAGGCACAATAAATGTATTTACACAGACAGACTTTAGTTTTTGTAATCATCTAGAAGTTCACTCAATTTGGCCGAAAACTCATAAAAGCCATAAGAAAAAAAAAGGAGATAATGAGTTTATGCCACGCCCCCATTACAATGATTCAATTCAATTTTATCTCAATTCAATTTTATTTATATAGCGCCAAATCACAACAAAAGTCGCCTCAAGGCACTTCATAGATAAAGAGAAAAACCCAACAATCATATGATTGTTGGGTTTGATCACACCAGAGTATCTAAAATCGTTTAATTCTCATGAACATCTGAGGTCTCGCTGTTTGTAAAGGTCTGATTCATTAAGCCAACTCATAGTGAAAGGGTTAAAGCACCAACCTCCACATTACATTTATGCTTTGTTTAGTAAGCAACCATTTTATTTTATGTATTCACTTTAAATATTATGATATTTTAATTATATTTCTCCTACATAAAAACATTATATGCATTAACAGACGTCACACTCTACAACATTTTCTTCCACCTGCCTGGAGATGTTTCCTGCAGAGGCTCCGCCCACTTTATCAGATGCAGACTTAACACAAACTCTGAAAGAATTTTTCTACACAATCTTCAAATATACGATGCTTTACATCCATTATTATTAGCAGTAAACGCCCACACAATGGAAGACATTTCAGGATTACAAGATGAATTTGAGTCTTACAGCAAATATTTCACTGATTCATCCACAGACAGTTTCATTATGTGGACTGAACCTTTTACTGTAACGTTCACACTTAAAATCTAGAATATAATTAAAGCATCTTATCCAGTAAAGTAATCCTAGCTCGTGCTGAATAAAAGCAGAAATTATCTTGGAAACAGAACTTTTCAAATTAAGAGCTTACATGTAAATGCAAGAAAATACTGAAACATTACATTTTACAGATTTCTGCCCTAAATTTCCCACAGAAAAAGTTTCTATTTTCAAACAAAGTTTCACTGCAAATGAATATTTAAGGCACAATAAATGTATTTACACAGACAGACTTTAGTTTTTGTAATCATCTAGAAGTTCACTCAATTTGGCCGAAAACTCATAAAAGCCATAAGAAAAAAAAGGAGATAATCAGTTTATGCCACGCCCCCATTACAATGATCACACCAGAGTATCTAAAATCATTTAATTCTCATGAACATCTGAGGTCTCGCTGTTTGTAAAGGTCTGATTCATTAAGCCAACTCATAGTGAAAGGGTTAAAGCACCAACCTTCACATTACATTTATGCTTTGTTTAGTATGCAACCATTTTATTTTATGTATTCACTTTAAATATTATGATATTTTAATTATATTTCTCCTACATAAAAACATTATATGCATTAACAGACGTCACACTCTACAACATTTTCTTCCACCTGCCTGGAGATGTTTCCTGCAGAGGCAGCAGGCGTGACTGCTGAGCTCCGCCCACTTTATCAGATGCAGACTTTAGCGTCTGCTTCGTGTCCAATCTGTATGAAACTACAACAGGCTGAAGTTTGTGTCTTATTTTATTCTCACAGGTGCATAAACCAGTGACAATGTTTCAAATATCGACACAAACATGTTTTCAGATTTATGATTTACTCTAAAAGTTTCAAACTTAATTTTTTTCCTGTAGTTTCTTAAACTGGATCAAAACTGACTCATATAAATTTTGCTGTCGTGAAGGTTCAGATTGAGGAACATGAACACTTTTAAAACCCATTTCATGGAAAGCTAAAGAACCACATTATACCTCAGATTTTTAATCTGTAAAGTGCAAAATAAATTTATATATTTATCATTATTATTATTTTTAATTATTGTCGTCTGTATGCCAATAATCTAGTTCATGCGAGCCTTGAAACTTGATGTAGCCGAAGATTCAGGATGACTCCTGGGCCTGACCTTGTTTGTCAGAATCAGCTGCAGAGAGGAGCAACAGTATTATTTTACATGTAGAGTAACAGCAGGTTCTCAGTGAGGGACGCTCCAACTTAAACTCTCATGTGTAATCACACTGAACTTTTTTTTTTAACTTTAAATCAGTTAAATATAACAAAGACTTCAACAACAGAAACCTACTGATATGTATTAGAAAATGCAAAAGTCCAAAATAAAATAAATAAATAAAAAATGAAAAAGTCATCACATTCATTTGACCTCATCTCAC